AATGTAGAATAAATGGGAAGCTGGTCTTTAAATTCATTGATTATTTTTATAGGTACTCGAATATTTGTGGCTACGATGCAGGCTTTTAAAGTATAAGGAGCCAATCTTTAGACTAATCAAGGGGCGCAATATTACTCTAAGCCAATGGTACGAAATATGGTTGAAACGAAAACTCGATATGAACAATTTGAATAATCGAATGCATTTTCTTGTGCATCCATACTCCCACTGTCGAATTCGAGAAAATGCCAATTCAATTTTTTGAATAGTCAGATATTCAAAAAGTTGCGTTCAATTGGTTACTGGTCAAACATTGGAACACACACACCTCGAATACGAATGATTTTGAAACTAAGATTTGAATGATAACGTTCGAACGCCTGCGAATTAGAAAATAGGTATCCGTTTGAATAAATCATCATTGAATACGCTTGCGATCGAACATTTGCGTCCCACTGAAATATTCGAACAATTCGATTACATGGACAGGTGAATAGTCGAACATTCGAAAAAACGCACTCATTATACAAACACTTGAGTATTCGGTCACGCCTGTATTCTGATTCGAAAAGTCGGATATTGGCGACCCTTACTAAGTAGAACATTCGGAACGAATATAGTTCAGACGACGTTTTGAATATTATTCATTTGTTCAAATATGTTTACTAGAATAAATAATCGCTGTTCGTTCATTTTCAAATAAAAAATCTTTCGAATATTTCAATCATCACAAAAAACAGAACTAACAATCCTTTTGAGATCGTAAGGGGGTAAAAGGCCTTAAATCGTTTCAACTTACTTGCAAATATTCGCGTAATTGTTAATGCCATACGGTAATTTCATAAGTGATATCACTACTTGATTCAGCTGATTGATGTCGTTCCACATGTTTGTAGTGCTGAAAAAATAATTGCTCAAAAAATTTAAAACTTCTGTGTAGGATTAGGAGAAGTCGTAGCTGATGTGATATTAAATGTGAGCTAACTCACTCCATATCCCAATATTGACCGAGAGCCACATTGCAATGGCTGAAACGCGTAGAGTCGCAGTTCTCAGTTTGAGCCGACGCCAATGCAGCGAGACCTAATTATATTTAAAAGGAAAGTCTTAAAAATCCTACTTTCAAGAACATTTTTCAGTTGTACGTGGAATTGCCAAATTAAATCATCCGCTAGCACATGCCAACTCAAATCATACCATTTTAAGCTTACGGAAAATTATGGAGCCATCATTTTAAAAATATAGCAAAATGATTTACCTAGCAAAATTATGAATTTCATCATAAGGTCGTATGCTTTAGGATGCAAAGCAAAGTAGGCCAAGCTGATAAGCGGCAAAACTTTCGACACACGTATTTTACGACATGCAAGGGTGTTGCTACAGCGCAATCAGAGCGATAGTCGTTTAAACATACCTACTTTGCAGGGATGAGCCCAGGGAGAAGCCAAAATGATAGGCAAGCCTTAGTCCAAACTTTAGGAAGAGTGCAAAGAAGAGAGGAGTGTCTGAGTAATATCCGCATAATTCAAAACGAAAAGGGTTAATGCATTTTGAGTTTCTATTGACTGCATTAGTTCCCTGAATACTTGTTTCTTGAGTGAAACAAGTCTTCCACCGTTTACACTGTTATGAGATTTGTTCTGGAAGCTCCGTGAAGTCGGAGAGTTGTGTATAGAATTTGAGCTAT